TTGAAGTTAGTAGTAGACTGTACTTTTAGCGGTACTAATATTTGAAAATTTCTATTTTTTTCAGTTTTTGCTAGCGTTGGTTTTGGTTGGTGACATTTAGCTTATATGTTTGCAGTCTGAGACAGGATGGTTTTCATATAACATGCTTGAAAACTTGAAAGATTGTGTTAAAGTGAGGTTCCTATCTGTATTCCCAGAACCTGGTGCGGAGCCCTTGCTAAAAGCTGCTACTGAAAGCTTCAAAAAGTCCAAGAAGTTGTGTAGTAATGACAAATTAATGCGTGATGAAGTGGTACACCCACAGGCCAAAGCAGGTATAGAAATAAAACCACATTTGTCGACTCTCCATTACTTTTAATATATAATTAAAAGTGTGTTTTCTATTTTTGTTCGTTGAATGTAGAGTAATTAAGCATTCATGTGATTTTTTGTTTTTGTTTTTGGCAATGATATTCCCTTATTTTACTAAAAGTAAAGCAAAATAAACTTAGTCTTGTGAAGAGAGAATTTTGTGACCAATTAATGCTTTCAATTGAAGTGTTCTAAGCTCTGCAAATTCTTGTGGATTTCCTATATGTTTCTCAGATCTTAACATGGAGAATATCTCAAGAACCCATTTACAGGAGCTGTTTGGTAGTTTTCCATCTCCTGAAGCAGGGGGTGATAGAATACAAGCTGCATATACGAGTGATGAAGAATACCAGATTTATGAGCAAGATAGTGATGACAACTTCCCTGATGAAAATGATTGCTAACATGACATCTCTAAGGTTTGTTCTCTCCTTTTCTCATTCTGAGTTTTCACGCATTCTTTAATTTTTTGCCATTGTGGAGATATCTTTCATGTGAATAATACATACTTGAAACTAGTTGGTCTTGATATAAGTGCTCTCTCTCTCTCTCTAGACAGAATAAGTTTGCTACTACGGATTTCATGTCTTCGATCTTGAAACTGCAGGTTGTGCAATATGAATATCATTTCACATGTGCAACAAGTTTTATGCTTTGCGTTTCATGACTGTAAGTTGCTCATGCAAACTTCTCAAGAGGCCTTGCCTGCTATAACATGAAAGCTACACTAACTACCAATTATTGGTGTTTGACGACCATCAATATAAAGCACAACTTCAGATTCATTTTCTAGCCTGGACAAGATGATAAGTCGAATTGATTCGTGCATCTTCAAATGTGGTCCTCGACTCAATGTGGTTTTGGATCTCAATATCTGCCAATGTACAACAATGATAATGGAGAATCTGTACTTGCTTGATGAGCTTCTGCCAGTCTTTGATTTCTTGTTCGATGATATCGGTGAAGGTGTTTCTTTTGGCATGGCAGTTGGATATGCAAAACCACTCAACTCTGTGCCTCCCATTGACCATTTAACGCAGAGCTGAAACCCTGGGGGGAAAAGCACTACTACTGCAACTGTTGGTCATTAGATTGTTTACGAGTTTCTTTTTATACCTTTAGATCTTGTGGTAATGATCTCTTGTGCTTAGATTTGCTGGGACAAATTTATCTGTAATACTGTTTTTCTGGTAAGTTAATTATGTTTATTCTTTTATACTTTGTAGTTTCTTTAAAATTTGCGCTATTTCTCGAGTACGGAAATTTCCTCCAATGTAAGGGTGGGCACGGTCCGGTTTGGTCCGGTTTCACCCTCAAACCACAGCTGAACCAATTAAACTTTCACGGTCCGGTTTGGTTCGGTTTAAGCTAAAATCAAAATGGAAACCGAACCAAACCAAACCATTCATATCCGGTTCGGTGCGGTTTGGTTCGGCCGGTTTAGGCATAAAAGAAAACATCATTTTCTCCATCGCTTGTGCTTAGATTTGCTGGGACAAATTTATCTGTAATACTGTTTTTCTGGTAAGTTAATTATGTTTATTCTCTTTTTATACTTTGTAGTTTCTTTAAAATTTGCGCTATTTCTCGAGTACGGAAATTTCCTCCAATGTAACTATTTAAAAAAAAAGGTAAATTTAGAAAACTGTTTCTCATTCTTTTAAAACTGAAAACATGATTGGTAACAAATTTTATTTTGAAAAAAATTTGAAAGTGTTTTCAGTTCTTGTTTTCATAATTTTTGCCCTTTTTTATCATTCACTAATTTTACATCACCGCACATATATTACACTGCAGTTATCAAAACTCGATATTTGGGACTCTAGACTTAAATTCTGCTCGACTTGTACCCCCACATTTGTGCATGACAAATTTTTTTTTTTAAAGGAAGAAAGATAACGTGGAAACAAGAGAAACTAAACATCAGTCATTGAAAGCATGTGAAGGCATAGCAAGTTCACAGTCACTTGGGAGGAAAGCACCAGTCATTGAAAAGAAAATGTTACACGAGGAAAGCACCAGGCATAGCAAGTTCACAGTCACTTGGGAGAGGTATGTGACTTTTCTGGCTTTTCCATTTACGCTTTAGCCTTTATATCATATAATATGTTTTTTTTTATAAGATCATACAATATAATATGTTAGTTTAGCCTAGGCCTATACAGACATGATATGTCCCTTCTTGTCTTGGGGAGATGCCACACCCTTGACCCATTACTGGGGGTTCCCATACATAACCCACATGATTGGTAGCCTAGGCCTATCAAATTATTCATGTTGGCCCCTCCTTTGTACAGACATGATATGTTCCTTCTTGTTTTGGAGAGATGCCACACCCTTGAGCCATTACTGGCGGGTCCAATACACCACATCAAATTATTCATGTTGGCCCCTCCTTCAGGAGGAGGTTTGAATTTGGACAGGAGGCTGAAAAAGTTTACAAATTCAATAATTTGCAGTGTTTCAAATTCCAGAGCTGCAAAAAGTGATGCTACAAATATATTAGGTTTGCTAATTTTGAAAGCGTTCTTAATCATTTGAGCTATAAACTCCTTGCATAATTATCAAGCGTTAGTACACGATCGAGAGCATTAGAACCCTTACGGGAGGGAGGAAAATATGTATTAGGCAGGAGCAGTGGCGTAACCAGAAAATTTTCACAGAGGGGGCACCTCATATATTGAAATATATTTTTCTTTAGGGTGACAATTAAACTAATTTTTTACTTGATACAAAATCCCTAATTTTTGTACTCCATTATTTTACATATTATATTAACTATCTACTCAACATCGATCCTAGGAAAAAAATCAAATGTATTGGCACTAAAACTGAACAGATAGAGATGAGTGCAACTTACAAGTGATGTGGACGATCGGGAGATCGATTGAGTGTTTAGACGCTGATTCTTCCTGTTCCTGGATGCTAATCCTGAATAGAAGGAAGCCGAGACTCGTGAGGTCTATGGAACTGGTGTGGAACCAGCCTAAGACCCTCCGATGCCAAAGTAAGTTTATTTCTAAGAGCTTTTGCTGCTGACAATATATTTAGCACAAAAGTCAAGCTGAAAAGTCTTAGTACGACAATAAGAGATGTGAAAGGGTAGCAATGATAGTGAGAAAAGGAAAATTTAAAAAATACAAAGAAAGAAATACATGGGCATTTCAAAATTTGGTTGGAAAAGTATGATTATATTAATAATACAATAACCTAAAATAAAATTTGAGCGGGGGCACATGCCCACCCTGGGCCTTAGCTCCCTTCGCCACTGGGCAGGAGATTACCATATTAGTTAGAAGAGGAATGCTAGCAACTTTTTCTCTAACCTTCTCTTTTGGACCTTCTCTCTTCCTCTCATGACAAGTGTCACTTTTCTTACACTTAAAACAATGTCATTAATGCATCACACAAGTTAGTTTTTGTTTTCTAAATTTATCCTTATTAAATATATTGGCTTTTATATTCCTTCAATTTATCCAAATTTTATTACAACTTCCTTAGTATATTGTTAAAAATTAAATAAGAACAAAAGCCATTTTTTTAAAATAATAAAGTTTGTTTCATGACATATATCATCTTTCTTTTTGGTTTAACAAAGCATACGTCATCTTTGAAAAAAAAAATGATTTAAAAAAACTTCTTCTTTTATTTCTTTTTTAATTTTTTTAGTAAGGTAATAAGAAAGTTGTACAAATACAAGCTTGTTATTAAAAAAAAAAAAATACATTTAATAAGGGTAAACTTGAAAAATAAAAATTAATTTGTGTGATGCATTAATGACATTGTTTTAAGTGTAAGCAAAATAACACTTGTCATAAGAAGAAGGGATAAAGTCCAAAAGAGAAGGTTAGAGAGATGTTATCTGTCACATTAAAAAAAATCATCGTGCATGTTTTTTTCATGAGAAATCAATACATGATAACTTTGTTGGTGTGTCAATAACATAATCCTAAAATTTCAAAAATTTCAAGTAACAATATATATATTATTTGTACTCATTTGGTCATGTATCACAAACCACCGGTCTTAGATTAGATTCTGTGAGAGAGGAATGGTAAACACTAACACAGATAGCAAAGGAACAATTAAAAGACAAAGTGGGGTTTGTAAATTATGACAAATTAAGACATAAAATAATGGAGCATTTCTTGGTTAATTAACAACACTTTTGTGTGTGTAAGATTTAGAGCACCAACTGCAGCAAGCTGCAAGACCTAGGACAATTTGCCACTGTGCCACTTTGTTTGTAGCCCTTACATGTACATGTTGTCCCGTCTTCTTTTGGACAGCTTTGTCACATTGATATGTCACTTGATTTATCATCCCATAAATAAAAAACCATCTGATTTCCCCCCCACTCCTACTCTCTCCCTTCAAGAGATTGTCTTTCCCAACAAGTGCTTATTGCCCAGTTCCATATGGTAAGGGTATTCTAAGCACTTAGATATATTGGATATGCATACAAAAATCCAAAGTTATTGAGAATTAAACAAGTCTAAGGTATAATTATGTCATCATATTGTCAATTTGATATATTTATTAAATTACATAAGAAGGCATCAAGAAATGTTATTCACGTTTTAGGTAAAATGATCACACGTGCTCTTATGTTATCGAAATAATATTTGTTGTTTAGGTGTTTCACTTAAGTGACACTACATATTAGAGGGCATATCGAGAGTATCCGAAGATGAAGGTCCTACATTAATAGTTTCTACTCATTATCAACTGGTTTTGAATTGAATGCTAACATTTATACTATAATCCTCCTATTATGTCCATTAGCACCATTTTATTAGTGTAGGGTCCCCTTGAATATCCCATGATTTCTGCTTGTTTAGATCATCTTGCAGGTTTGTAGAGACAACTATACTACATGAAAAAATTGAATACTAATTACAGGTACTGGTACTGTCAAAAATTCCCATAACACTGAAAATGTCCATGTTAGGCTGTGCACATCATGTGCAACATACATAACCCACATGGAAGGAATCCTAGGTTTACTTGTGGCTTATGCTTGCACCTATTTGTTTCCTTAAAATCAATAAGAAATTTGGAGTGGTTGGTTGCTTTGATTTTGAATAGCTGTTTGCTCTTAGTTTCTATTTTCTTTTCACGTTTTTCTTTCCTTATATAAAAAAAAATAGTTTATGTTTTTCTATAAAATAAAATAAACTTCATTTTCCATATGCATTTCAAATGATAGAAAATTTTGTGTATACAATGCATAAGGCTTCAAGTGAGAGAGAGGTTAGGATCAAATCATCTTTTTTTCTCGACAACATAAATGAACATATGAAATATAAATTAAAATATGAGTTGTAGAGAGGAACACGAACGACGGAGCAGGCGTGAAAAAGAATAAAAACTAAAGTGTCAAAAGTAATTGACAGCTGTCAGAAGTTAATTGGTTAGGAATACTGACGGGAATGCTTCCATTGGCATACCTGTTCCAGGAAAGTTTTTCTCAGCTAGGCAGACTAGTCAGACTTTGGAGATGGGATTTGTGCCAAGGATAAACCCTAACTAGTCTTTGTAATAACAAAGTGGTCTTCCCTTGAGTAGATTCCTAATCAGTGTTGACTAAGTCAATGTGAAAGCAAGTAATTAGGTTTCTAGTTTTTTTTTTTTTTTGGTCAACAAGTAATTAGGTTTCTAGTTTTTTTTTTTTTTTGGTCAACAAGTAATTAGGTTTCTAGTTGATCTGGAAAGTGAACTCCTAAAAAATTATGTAAAATATAGAAAAATTTAGAGTAGGAGAAAAAAAGAAAGAAAAAAGAAGTATGAGTTTCTGTTTTATATGCGAAGCCCTCTCTTTGACGAACAAAAAAGAATTTGTACCAAAAGTTTAGGGTCAAATTAGGAAGAAGAGTCAGCCTCACTTAAAGAAGGGCAATGAGAATGAAAAGAAGAACAGCAGCTATGAAAGAATACTTAACAGCAGCAACTTGGGCCGGGCTGGGATCAAAAAATAGGTCCAATGGACCGGGCCGGCCCATGACCCGATATGGGCTGGGCTTGGCCCGAGCCCGTTTCAAGCACGGCACATTTAACATTTTTTTTCTTCTCAAAAAGTCAAAATGCAATAATTTGACATATAATGTCATTGTTTATATGTTTTAAATAAAAAAAAATCATAAACATATATTTGATGTCTTTCATTTTAGGGAAATTACTTGGGTCCTTAGTTAATTAAATATATCAACTACAAATTAATTAAACAACATTGGACTTGATATCTAATCAATCCATATGACATATACGCTTCTCTTATAATCAAAGCAAAACATTTCTTCACATATAAAATAATAAGTTGTTTAAAGATGAAAAGTTCAAGTGGACTTTGTGGAGTTGGACACTTTTTGCCCTCCGCCCCTTCATATTGTTTGGATGTTTGATTGATTAATGTTTTCAAATAATTCATAATTTCTTGACTCTAATTATATTTTTAATGTTTATAATTTGAATTATCTAGTGGAAAAAAAATCAAGTGAAAAAAATTCAAATTAAATCGGTTGGTTCTTGGGCCCAAGTATGGCACGAGCACGAGTACGGGCACGGCACGAGCACGAGTACGGGCACGGCACGAGCACGAGTACGGGCACGGCACGAGCTCGGCCCGGCCTGTTTGAATATGGACATGGGCTTTGGGCCGGGCTGGGATCAATGATTTTATTATTCAAGTATTTGACTACGATATAGATAATGTTTAATGTGTTTATGTGCAAGTATTAATGAATGAAATCTACTGCTCTTTTTCACATGGTTTTGTTCCTCTCTTTTGTTTTGCTTGCATGACATTTGGTTGGATTTGAGGTGGGAACGTAGTTCAGAGGTAGAGAGAGAGAGAGAGAGCATTTAGACTTATTTTCTATACAGTGAGGATAGGGTTTTGATTAATCTAATACAATATAATCAGTCATTATTAGTTTATGACCTACTAATCAGAAATAAAAGTAGACAACACAAGAAAGATTCTTTGTCACGTTTCCTTCCTTACAGCCTCCAACAAACAAGCATAGCTTACCTTTACCCACCCAGAAACTACTTGTTTGATTAGAAAGCAAGCTTTGATGTAAAACTTAACCTAATATTAGAGAGAGGACATGGACATGATGCTGCTGCTTCTGATGCTCAATATATAAAACCTGTTCCTAAATCCCTCCCTCTGCACTCCTACCAGCCGATCACGCATCTATAACTGCCTGCCTCATACTTACTATCAGTAACTGATACTAGTTCGTTTCAAGGATTTTTCAAGTTTGTTTCGCTTCACTGCTTGAATTGTTAGATTGCCTGTGAACTGGACTTGCTTGCCCTTTTCTGGAGCTGTTGGACTTTGAGACAATGCGGATTGTCTTGGCCGAGGAGAAGCAATGCCTCACTCTGACTCGATGACTAAATGTTTGGGCTGAGCAACTCCCTTCCACATTCACTATTAAAATCACTTCCTTGTCTCGGGTGTCTTCACACCACCAGTTTTGAGGGATGCCATCAACGAATTCTTCTAAGGTATGAAACTCTTCATGATGAACTGACACCTCCACACTCTGTTCAGGTTTTATCATCCCAGCTGCTGGTGTAACCTATTTTTGGTTTTGTTTTTTCAAAACAACAACATCAACAACAAGAAAAAAAGTTAAATAATTAGGCAGAAATTGTTTGATACCTACCTCAAGCCATCGGGGAAGTCCGTTGGCTCCTCTTGCGCGATAGTCAAGCTCATCGCCGTCCTCCTTCACGGTGGACTGCCCTTCACAAATTATTCTAAACACGGCCATGTCCTTCACACATTTATTGGTGATACGCAAAATGGATGTGTCCTGATTTTGAAGAATTATGGTGTTGGTGTTGACAGTAGTTTCTGGAACATAGTTTAATTCTCCAAGCATAGACCTGATTTTCTCATTGGATTTTATGACTTCCCCAAACTCTTTTCTCCTTACTGATCTATCAACATGGGCAATTTGTAAAGACAATTTACACCGGACAGGTTTGTGATCACTGTCAGTCACATCCATGCATGCATCATACCTATTTGAAATTTGGACCAAACTTAAGTACAATTGAAACAAGGAAAATAAAATACAATCCCCGGAGAAGAAGAAGACATACTGTAAAATTGATGAGACTATAGGACACTCTAAACCACACTCTGAAACTGGAGATGATCGATTGTCGCGGTATATTATTCGATCACACCAGGCAGGAATTCGTTTCTTCTCACCAGAATCATATCCTGGGGACAAGGATATATTTATTTATTTTACTCGTGTAAGATAAGAGAAGCCAAGAGCTGATATGTTAATGCAGAAATTGAGTTGAAGTGTGTTTTATGAAATAAATACCTCCTAAACCTGCTTGGTGCCTCTCAAACTTGTATGTTGGCGGGAATCGAATGAGTGCCTCACGCATCCCTTGGAAAACTTTCCCAGCTTTCATCTCTGCTCTAAGCTGATCTTTTTCTCTGAGCCAATCAAAGCATCTTTGCGAAACAAAGTCCCTTGCTTCATCATAAGAAATACCAAAAAGTCGATAGTTGAAATCACCCAGAAAAACAACCATATCTGCTTCAGCTAATTCAGGCCTTGCTGCTTCCTCAGAGCTGCTGCTGCTGCTGCTGCTGCTGCCGCCGCTGCCTGAAGCCTAAATAAATCACCAACGTTTTGTTTTAACTCTTAGTCTGAGCTAATAAAGATGAAATTAAATTAATGTTATGTAAAGTGTCGAAATAGAACAAGTAGTACATACATTTGTTGGCCGAGTCATGTTAACAGAAGTTGCGACACCAGCTGCAAGAGAGAGGACCCATGGCAAGCCAGAAGAATAAAGCAGCCAAAATAAATAGGTAGACAAGGCAAGAGAGCAAGACAAAAACAGGTATGGTAGCATACCAGCTGCATTGTTAATTAGAGATGACCGGTTGAAGACCATATTTCGATAAATGTGATCGAAATCAGCATTACGGCGATTCACAGCTTCTAAATGTGCAGCCAAGTGACAGTTCACAAAGCACATTATACGATCATACACTCTGATTCTCAAACCAACACCTCCCTGCATAAGACACCAGAACCATTTTTTCAAAGAATAAGACGCCCGCCGTACTATTAAGAAATTGAGCAGAGACAATCATCAAACTACCTGCATTTTCATTTTATTCTGTTACATAAAACTGTGAATGGAGAAATACAAACCTTATTCCCAATCGCACGACCAAAGCCGCATGGAACTGCTCCAGCATCAATATCTCCAACATGTGTTCTGAGATTCTTTCTTACCCTAAATCAGAATTATCAGCTCAGCTCATAAGCCAAAAATAAAAAGAATTAAGATGCCTCACTGATAAAAGGAAAGAAATATGAATTGCAGGCTTGTTCCTAAAATGTATTTTGATCATAACCGCTTACCAAAGAGATATGAGCAAGCCTGCCAACTGCCTAGAACCCATACGTTCAAAAGTTCTTCCTTCTTCTAGGGCCTTTCCTATATTATCAAGCCACCAGTGCCCAACAGAGCTCCCTTCAAGCCCTACCTACAAAGGGAAAAAAACAATAAATAAATAAATCCACACCATCAACAGAGCTCCCATAATCAAGCAGTACACAGCATGATCAATAAAGGAAGTCATATGATCTTACAGTTTCTTTTGCTGCAGACATTGCAAGAAAGCCTGCACCCATTTCTACTTCTTGCAACCCAACAACTACAATGCCAACATCTGGCACAACAGAACCCAACCATGACTTTAAAGAATCCTGAGATGCTCTTCCTTGACCAACATTCCATGTGCCAATTAAAATTCTAACATTGTCTGTTCTGGTATATACATGTTCTTTCGCAGCTAATTCTGAACGTACCAAGTTGTCCGCAGGTCCTGGAGATTTGATGTTCCACCCACGTATGCCACCATGAGTAGCCAAGCTAAAAACAGAACCAGTTCCAGCTGCTAATTTGATCACAGGACTGCTGTGTGCAATCCATCCTGCAATTAGATTTCCCTCAAGATCCAATACCTGCATCATGCCACTCACATAGCCTACATATATTTGTGTCCCCAAAGTGCAAAAGCATTGGACGCTACAAGGATGGTGGTTAAAATCTTGCACACGGTTTCCATTTCCATCCCACTGCACCAGTAAACCATTTGTGCATCCACTCCATATCATGCCATCTGCGGTTAGCACGAGTGCCTCTATCTTCTTGGCATCTTCTACAAATGCCCCTGCCCCTCTGGTTGCAACTCGACGAACAGCATCTGCAGCTCCCATTATAGCATTACGCGACCGTTGCAAAAAGCCCCCGGATTTTTCCTTTTTTGATGTGGAAACAAATTTTACCTTCATCTCATCTTCTACTGCTTGATCTTGCTGCACTGATGACATATCAACTCGATTCTCAGTCTGACCATCTATATTAAAGACTTTCACAAGCTCTCTTGTACGAGCATCCCTGACAAATAAAACATATTTTAGAATAAAATTCAAATGCAAATTATACTTAGAGAAATATTTTACCAAGACAAGGTCTTGAATTGAAAACTAACCACAAAGAGAAGGACATAGACCCAGCACACCAAACTTTAGCTCTAAAATTATCCGATACCAAACACTTTACATCTTGAGAAGATATACTACAAACACCATTGACGGTAACTTGGCTCCTGAGGTCAATGCATGACCTCTCCACCAGTAAAGCTGCCATATGTCTTTCCTCTGGTTTAAGAGAGAGAGATTTTTCAATGGATTCCCAGGGCCAGATCTTAATAACACCACCCTCAGAACCTGACCACATATCACCTGCATCAAAGAAACATACATGATATCAGAGGTTAATTAACTATCACATTGGAAAGAGTGAGAAGTTGTGTTATTACACAAAGAAAGAATTCTTCTCTATCTTGAATAAACTAGTTCGTTAACCTCAGGAACGTTTTGTAATAAAATCCCTATTAGTAATTTTCATATTTAACCTATTAATTAAAAAGTAAAACACCAAACAACATACAAGCACAGTACCAGTACTAGAGTGAGTAAGTAGTGAGTGGCTGACTGACCGTAAGAAGTGAAAACCATGGCAAGAACCGGAGCGCGGTGGGCCTGCCATGAAAGACCTTCCTTAAAAGGAGTAGAAGAATCCAAAGGCTGATCCATCTTCCACGACCTGATCTTGCCATCCTTATGGCCAGTCCAAATCAACCGAGTCCCGGAATCAACCATGAGGCAGAGGGTAGGAGAGGAGTTGGAGGATTCATAGTAAGGGGCAGCGTCCTCATCACCCCTCAGCACTCTGCCGCCAAGGCCGCACCCCGGTTCAAACACGTCCTTCAAATTCCACACCCTCACCCCACCCTCCTGCCCGGCCCACAGCTGGGTGTCTGTGCAGGCAATGGTCCTGAGGAACCTCCCCACCTGGGTCTCCCTCAACGGGTGCGGTCTCAGCTCCAAGCAGGGCGGACGGCCAGGATGCACGGAGGCCCGAGTTGGAACCTTGAAGATTCCAGCGCCGCCTCCACTGCCGATGAATTCTGACAGCGGCTGGCTTTCCCTGCTGCCGTCATGATGATCTAAATCACCATGGCCACCCTCACCCTCCATGCAGAGGCTTTGGTCAAGTCTCTGCGAGTGAGAGCCCGCGGCGTACAACTCTTGATCAGGGCCAACACCAACATTCATGTTCACACTCGTGGTGGTATTAGCGGAGGAGGTCGAGTAGGGGAAGAAATCGTCGTCGGAAGAGTCGTAGTAGTCTGCATTGTTTTTATGGATGTTCTTGGGGACAACGTGGACGTCGTCGAGGCTGTGCTTGCGCATTTGGTGGTGACGCTTTTGCGCGGAGGATGCACGCAGCTGCTGGCTCAATGAGTGGGATTTTCGGGGCGGAGGGGCAGAGCTTAGCCCTGCCAATGCCTCCCGGTCGTCGTCTTCGGTTCTCTCGTCCATACTTAATCAATCAGAATCGAAGCGTAGATCAAAACTAACGCCAGACAGAACAGCAATATTTAGTATATCACCATGAAAAACGTAGGAAACTCATTAGATCTTAGAGCTGAAAGACAGAGAGAGGGAGAGAGAGAGAGAGAGAGAGGAGGGACCAAAGAGAGAAGAGAAAGAGTCTAAACTGCAAAGGGGATCCGAGAGAGGAGAGCACGTTGGTTGGTTGGTTGGTTGGTTGGCTTGCGTGGGAAGGCGAAGAGAGCGAGGGAGCGAGCGAGGCCTCCGTAGAAAAAGGAGGGATTTAAGTTTTTAAGGAGGGGCTTACATAACGCTGCAGCACTAGCTCTCCATAAATTTGACCACGATTCAATCAAGCCTATCAACAACAACACCAAAAGCAACAACGGTCCCTTTAATTAATTAATTGATTAGTTTGTGATAAAAATCAATTAGAGATGGATTAATGGATGAATTAATATATCAATCAAAAGCCACATTGGACCGAATAACATATTGATAAAAAAAAAAAAAAAATTGAAACAAACACCAATTTTCATACGTTTAATTAAAAGGTAAAACTGGAGACAGTAGACCAATTGGCCAAGATATTGTGTGACCCTTTCACCCGAGTTCGATCTCCTCCGATACATTAGATACTCGCTTTGTCAAAAAAAAAAAAAGAGAGGGTAAAATCAATGCTATGTGCGCAATGGGAATGAATAAACTTTTTCTTTTATTTCTCTAAATTATTTTATCCATACTGTCTCTAAAAGATTATAAGTACGCTTTGATATGGAAGTCTCTGATTGTTAAACGTTAATTGGTGTGACCAAATGAGCATATTAATTGTAGAAAATTGTTGACCATGAAGCGTATTGGAATGTGAATTCAGATATACAGCTTAGCTTATCAAATATTTGACCCAAATTGAAATGGATGTCTCCAAAACCAACAAAAACTAATTAGAGAAGAAAAAAATGTTAAGCAATCTAATGACCACCTATTGGAGTAGTGGTACTATTCCCGCCAGGGTTTGTGCTCTGCGTTACGGGGTCAGTGGGAGACACAGAGTTGAGTGGCTTTGCAGATTCAACTGGCATGCCGAAAGGAACACATTCAGCGTTGTCATCGATCGGGAAACCGAAGTCTGGTAGAGGCTCGTCAAGCAAGTACACTTCCTCTTCCTCCTCCGTTGTGTCCGTTGGAGCCATGCCATAGCCACTGTTGTTAGGTTGTGACACATTGTTGTACATTGGCAGAGATTGAGCTTCAAAACCATATGGAGCAGTGGACTGATAATATTCTGCACTTTCATTGATTAGATAACCATCTTGATCATAAATATTCATGCTGTAAAGCAATGGAATTGAAGGTTCTAGTTGTGCATGCGCCATTGGAGCTAAGGTTGTCACCTCTGGATGAGCTCCCAAACCATTGCTAGCCCAAGTACATTGTGGGAATGATACATTGTTTAATGCATGATCACTGTGATTAGTCATGTGAACGTCGTATTGTCCAGCAAGGTTGGAAGAAGAAGAAGAAGAAGAAGAAGAAGAGCTGCCACCGTAAATATTCGGAGGTGGCGGCGGTAGAGGAAGAAATCGGAGGGCTTGATCTTCTTCAGCTTGTGATCTCGTGGTTGATGGATTTGTCCCATGTTCTCCAACATCATTAGAAACTATTTTCGCTTCATTTCTTGTATTTTGCTTGCTGTTCTTGCCCCTCGAGGTTTCGTATACCTTGCATAGAACGCAAGCCTCAAACTGCACAAAAGTAAAAGGCAAATAATACCTTGTTAATCTCACACGAGTCTTGTAATTAATAGCGTAGTGTCGGATTCATTAAATGAGTTAATGCTACACTTACCACATTTTTATCCCACTTTTATGTACCACATGATGTGGCATGTTCATATCATATGCCACATTAATGAAATCAAATGAAGTGTATTTTAATAAAGAAATTTTAATTATCGGTGATTTTTAAGTGTTGATAAATCATAAAAGAGAAGAAAATGTTAAATAAATTGAGTGCTGCTAAACGAACCCTAAAATTAACTGAGTACACTTTACTACTAAACTATTTATTGAATTACTAATTTACCCTAATATAAAATGACCAAAAAGATAAAATAATATTGGTATTTATTGTTTTGAATCCATGCCTTCCAACAAATTGACTTAATTTTTAACAAACAACACGGAATCCATGAGAAGTGTATTGATCCAAGTTGATTTTTTTATGCATAAAACTTAAACAATCAATAACACAAACCAATTCATGCTGAAATATTGGAAACCCACACCCAAAGAGTTCTCCGCTGCAAGGTTGGAGGTTAGGAGAGTCTCAGACTGTCAAGGTTGAGGGAGAAGAAGCGTTCAAAATGCCTATTGATATTTTACATTATTTTCCATACGAGTTAACAGTGTTTGTGTATTGTTAAAGGTGGAGAGACGTGTCAAAATTTTAGATAAAGGACATGAGGAGACAGCAAATCTCAACTCCCCTGAGATCCTATTCTCTACGCCACCCCCCTTAACAACCCTAGTCACCATTGCTACTTCAACTCCGATGGCAACTCATTAAAACCCAATTCTCAAATGCAACAATCTAATCCCAATCCCAATTCAGATGTTTCCAAAAAACACATGGTGGTCGTGGTGGAGAACTGCAATTCCAGGTGGTGGTGGTCGCACATGAGAGAGAGAAAAGAAGAAGAAGAAGCAGGAGAGAGAGAGAGAACTCATTAAAACCCAATTCTCAAATGCAACAATCTAATCCCAATCCCAATTCAGATGTTTCCAAAAAACACATGGTGGTCGTGGTGGAGAACTGCAATTCCAGGTGGTGGTGGTCGCACATGAGAGAGAGAAAAGAAGAAGAAGAAGCAAGAGAGAGAGAGAGAGAGAGAGAGAGAGAGAGAGAGAGTTTTTTTGTCAAAATATTATTTTATTATTATTTTACTGTAATTTTTTATTTTAAATACTTTAAAAGATTAAAAATTAAAGAGGGTATACCATGAGTATTTTTGGTAGTTAAATAGGGTGTACTTAGTTAATTTTACATTTTAATTTAAACATTAGGGTGTACTTAGCTCATAGGGTGTACTCAGTTAATTTTAGGGTTCGTTTAGCAGCACTCAATAAATTTAATTGATGTGGCTGTCCACCTCATCTGCCACATAAAATGGTATATGATTGTGGTAAGAGTAGCATTATTCTAAATTTAAAGAAGACGTAAATGACGAATATAATTAAAGGAATATATAAGAAGAAAATAAATTATTGTACATACCTCTTCTTTTTTAAGTGTGTATTCGTGCATCATCCAATCGGTCTTTTTTCCTTGTTTTTGTTGTCCTAGATAAAAGACCAATGATTTCTTAAACCCAGTTGAGCCATCAATTTCTGTGATCGGTGTATCCGCACCAGTTGCTTTCCAATATCCAATATTAGCTGTACGGCTGGGACGTTTGCCATTTTTGTACTTCCGTTTCCTTGTGGTGTAGAAGAACATCACAGGGTCTTCTGGTATTTCAAAATATTCTGCATGTCAACCCAAAAAAAAAAAAAAAGTACATGCGTAAATCAGTATAACTATACTATAAAAATAAGATTATGAAAAATTGGAAATACGTTTAAATACTTTTCGGAGTTTCGACACTACTAAAACAAGGGACACGGGTATTTGCGTTCACAAAATAGAGTTTGTATTGACACTTTTTTTATGAAGATATGTACATGTCATTCAAATTTTTTTATAAAAAAAATTTGTGGAAAAATTAACAATTAATTAAAGAAAATGATGAGGGAGAGAGAGAGGGAGAGAGAAATAAACCTGCAAGCTGCATTGGGGTGAAGTCATAGATATCAAGATGAATGATTCTACTGTTATTCCAAGTTCTGTTTGTCAAGTAAAACACAATCAACTCTTCATCAGTAGGACAAAACCTCCACCCCGGTGGAATCCCCATGGAAGCACGCTCTTCCCTCATCATCATCATCTTCGTCACCATATCACGATGACGACGATCATTATCAACATCATCACCATACAAGGCTGGAGCCTTGCCTTTGTTAGCAGCAGGGTTACTAGTACTAGCCATATCTCAGGCTCCTAAAGTCGCTTTCAAGTTTGTTGATTATGATTAATTAATTTGGAATTAAGACACTGCCTCTCTACATATATAGTACTATTGGAGAAGAGACAACTCCTAATCTCCTCCGGTCTAGGAAATTATTCATGTAATTAGTCTGATTTCATAGTCCTTCTTCGTGTTGAACACTGTTTAATTTGTGAAATTAATTTAAGTGTGCATGTGTTTAACTTTGTAATGTCTATCGGATATATATGACAGCTAGCTACTTCATAATTTCCTTTTGATCAAGAGAGAGTTTCTTGGAAACCCTAACCCATACTAGCTATAGCATCTCCTTTTGGACAAGGATTTGGATTTCATATTTTTGTTTTTTTTCGGACATAGATAAATTTGAAGATAAAAAAAAACCCCAGGATTTGCGGGTTTTTGCATGATGTGCAGAAATTAGTTTTATTGAAAAAATATATCAAATTATTTGATATACAAGACCATATACAGCTAGGCATGCATGCTGATAGTAACTGGATAAGTCTGACTGTGACAACTTGGAATATTAAAATAAATATGTATAAAAAAACTAATTCTACGCAGGGCTTAAATTTGTTATGGATATTGTGACCAAAAAAAAAAATTGTTATAAATATTAAATGGCCTCCGAGATCTGTTTGATGGTTTTAACTGTATGTTTAGGAGAGAAACTCTAATGTAACAAGGATAACACTTTTTACTATCCCTACCAATAATGCAATAACACGTAGGATAATTTTTTCATGTGTCATTGTATTATTGGTTGGGAATAACAAAATAATGCTATCCCCTTTATATGTAAATTTTTTTAGTATGTCTAGCCTCTAGGATCATCTAAATGGAAGCAATACACACAGTTGCCTCATTTATTACCTGACATTGAGGTCTTCATAGATAGAATTTGCTTGCACCTAGTTGGTTATTTAAGTTTCTATTCGCCTTTAATAAAATTCTTATCTTTTGACAAAAAGAAAGAATAATGCCCTAAATAATCCAATAAAGACTTTAATGATGTATTGGTTTGGAGCAATTGCTCCCTTATGCAAGGTCTTGATTTCAAGTCCTAGCATCCGGGTAGTGTGTGTGAATTGAGTATATTATCACCCCTCTCAGCAAGAAAGGTCTTTAAAAAAAAAGGGAGATTCACTATTATACCCAATATAGGAGCCCAAATTATAAAAAAAACAACCTATATGAAATGGACTTTAGAAACACATTCAAAGCCCATTTACAACATAACAAAAAGGCTTTTAACTTCTTTTAAATTACAAAACTGCCATTAATTTCTTAAAACAAACTCAACCCCAAAACACTCAATAGGGCATCAAAGTAATTTAATAATCAAAATTAAATTTAATAAAGCCAGCTGTCATTTTTTGGGTGTTTTTTGGATTTGTTTATAGAAATTAAATAGTGTAGGGTTTATTTATAGTTTTGGTGCTAAGAATGGGTATTAGTCAGTGGGCAGTTCCTAACATGGGCTTGATCACTCTTGAATGTTGGGCTTTTCTAAACATTACATCGCAACTTGGGCTATTGACCAGTAAACTATTATAAAACCCTATGCAAATTACAATTTCCATCAAGTAAAATTGTATCCTTTTAGGTGGGGCGAGGGACAACAAAAGTAAACATACCTTGAATCATCCTAAAAGCCAAAATTGCATGAAATATACTAATCTAAGTGAAATGGGAGTGCATGCATCCACTAAATTGTTGAAATGGAATTCTACAAACACGTTAGGAAACCTCACTTAATTACCTTATTTTAAATGCGGGTGCCCTATTAGTGTAGTGGTTAGGAGTTTTGTCTCCACAATTGGTCTTGAGTTTGAGGCCTGGAATTGTAAATTTTCAACATAAAATAGCTAAAAACAATGAAAAATGGCGATACTTTTTATACTAGTGGTAATGTTCCCTATACTAGAAGCTACGGCATATGCAGTAGGAGGTGACTTCGATTGGAATGTACCTCCAGACACTTTCTTTTTTTGGGACATTTATTCTCGTTGGGCTTCACAACATACATTTTTGGGTTAATGACCTAAATGGTCCCCAAACTATTGCCCCAGTATCATTTTGGTCCACCAACTAAAATTTTCAATTCAAACGTCCTTCAACTCTTCATAATATACCAAAATGGTCCATCCGTCAAAGTCTATTTATTATTCCGTGAAATCGAGGGACAAAACCGTCTTTTTAGGTGAAACCCTATGAATATGAATATTTATTACCTCATCGTTCATTACCCAGCCACCTCCAACAATTTCCAGCTGACCATTCTTCACCAAATTGGTGAATGATTCCCTTTTGAGGTCAGAGGAGTCCCTCCACCATCTTTCCAGATAAGACATCTCCGGCCGAAACGGGTTTGCGGGAAGCGGACTTTCGGGGCTTGGGGAAACGGGTGGAGGATTTGGATTTGAAGTGGAAGGAGAGGGGACTAGGAACACCGTAACAGAGGATGACGACGAGGAAGAAGAGGATGGAGATCGAGAGGCCGATGGTGAAGAAGTTGGCAAAGATGAAGTCTCGGAGGGGCAATCGTCTGCAGGGGATGGGGATTGAGGGAGGAGGAAGAAGAAGAAAATGGGAGTTTTGTGTTAGCTTCTTAAAAAGTCGCATATACCCTTCAAAACTCAAGTCACGTGGCCATCGTGTGATCAGAAGTCACGGATTCTGTAACGGATGGACCATTTTGGTATATTATGAAGAGTTGAAGGACGTTTGAATTGAAAATTTTAGTTGGTGGACCAAAATGATACTGGGGCAATAGTTTGGGGACCATTTAGGTCATTAACCCTATACTAAATTCATATACACTATATAAATGTTAAGATTCGAACTCATAACCTTACTAGAGATGGTAAATACTCCAAATCACTACAGTAATGAGTCTTTTACAATCCGCAGTTTTGTATACACAGGAAGATGTAAACAAAAAATTGCATTAAATTTTCATGTCTTTTTTTGTTAATTTTTTTGGTCTTAAATTTATTGTTCTTTTTTTGTAGATGTATGCGCAAATTAATACCATTAAAGTAGTAAATGAAAAAAAAAATTAACTATATAATATTGTCCTCCTTTTAAAGATCTCATTGAGATTTTTTTATTTTCACAATTATAAAATTATACATTTGAAACTATATCAAATTAACTTCGACAACCAAAAAAAATACTATATCAAATTAACTAGTATTAGATAAAAGAAAATATTTGTGCCCACCACTTAAACTCAATGTGTAACCTCACTCCCCCTACATATGTCCATGAGCATAACTATAGTTACCTATTTGCTTTGTATTTGTGAAACTATGGTTATACTTACAGACACGCGTAAAAAGGGTAGTGATGATACACCTTGAGTTAAAGTAGTGGGAAAAAATGTTCCCTTACATAAAATGAAAAAAACAACATGAAAGGAAATACGTGTTTGGTTTTTGACAAATGATAGGATATATACAAGATACTTTTGTGACACGCTAAATTGCCAATGCACCCACAACATAGCCACACCACACCCAAATACATGTTCTTTTTTTGTCTTTAAATTGGGCCTTTCTCACAAGGAGTTTGTAGTTCAAGTAGTTAACAGTATTCACCTCTACATCCGCCTCTCTCAATATTGCTTTGTATAAAAATAAAAATAAAAACAAAAACATGGGCCTTTTTCCTTTCCACTTTTACTCTGTTGTTCCTTTTGTCAACTGGAGCCTACCAAATGCATATGTAAAGTTAGATGTATATGTACAACTCTTTTAGCATTTTTCACCGAAATGGAGAATTTACATATCCAAATGGATAGCCATTGGAACTTGTGGTATAAAAACTCTACATCTCTCCTCCCACTGGAGACACTCTTACCCCAACTAGCTCTTGGTATTTCTCTTTCAATGTTGGCAGAAAATCTTAAGCTCTTGATTGAACTTTTTGTGATTTTTGAACTGTCATTATATAGAAGAGTAGCTTAAAATATAGAAACATTGGTTGGTGGAGTTGTTTTAGGACCTCTCCTCTCCTCCTCTGCCTCTCTCCTGGCGGCAAATCCACATACCAAACAAGGAGATGGTTCCAAAGAAACAGAGTGAAAATAACTTTTATCTTTTTTAATTTTACAATAATTGATTAAAAAAAGAAAGAAAAAATTAAAAAAAACAATTTGTTACCAGACAAAACGAAACTTGAAAATGATGATGCTTTTCAACAGGAAGCCAAGCGGAGCCTCTCCTTCATCTTCTCCAGTCATGGCTTCTTTCTCGGCTCTCTTCCAACCCCAACTCCACCCCTTCCCTAACCCTAACACTAATCTCATCCACAGGTACACCATTCCTCTGCGCACCCAAACCCTAACCACCTCCTCCGTCCCTCACTCAACCCCCAACTCCGAGACCAACCAAACTTCATCCCCCTCCTCGGCACCGCCTCCTCAATCTCCAGAACCTCCTTCTCCGAAGAAGTCCTTCGCTGTGGCCACGGGCGAGCTCTTCTTGGGTTTGGCGTCTAGGATAATCAAGCGGCCCAATGGAGGCCCAGACGGCAAGGCGGCCTCGTCGGTCGCCATGTTTGAGAGTTCTGGGAAGAATTACTTGGACGAGAGAATTGGCAAGGTGATGGAGGATGAGATTGAGCCAGATGTTGTTTGGGAGCAGCGCGTTAAGGATGTGGAGGCTGAGAAAGAACGGCGTGTGGTTACTAGTCCCGGCTTTAGTTTTTCTGCTGCGGGGCTTCTTTTCCCTTATCATCTAGGCGCTGCTCAGTTCCTTATTCAAAATGGTTATATCAAGGTCAGCTGTTTCTGAATTGTTTTTCTTTCCAATTTACTGTTCCCTTTTCAGTTATACCTATTTGTATGTTACTCACTTTAATAAAAGGAAGATTTCAATTTGTATATGCGTTGTTGTGTATGTTTATGTATTGCATGCACGTAGTTTTGAGTGAACTTTTTTAAGACTCTAAATTGATACAGTTCAAATTTTGGGTTATGGTTTGTGTTCTCAAGCTATGTGCTTTATTGCCCAAGACTAAATTTGGTATCTAATTGGAATTAGGGTGTCTGAGTTTTATTGAGAATTTGATAGGAAGATATAGATATTTACCTGACACATATATAGTTGCCAATGTTCATTGATGCGAGAAGGATACATTATTTACTTGTTCAATGAGGGGTCGAAGAAGCATATTTGATTTACTACAAATAAAAGATCCCCTTGTTTGTGCTTGCTAAATTTAAAGGTAACTTTGATTCTTTTGTAATATTCTTGGATTGAATTAAGTTTTATTGGGTTTGGAGTGGTTGCTTTGGTTGCATATGCACTAATTGTGCTAATGAATCGTAAAAGTTTGCTTCTTTATGGTTGTTTTTTATTTTGCAAATATTCTGTTTGTCTTTTGCTTGCCTTTAAGTTGCCTGTTATTCCCTTATGAAGGTGAACAGTCATTATCTTTGGTTCTAGGTCTGTATTCAGAAGTAGAATGTGTGTGATTTGTGGAGGAAACCCGACCATTAGCTGGTTCCTCTGCAGGTGCCATTGTCTGTGCTGTGATTGCCTCTGGAGCCAGCATGGAAGAGGCCTTACAAGCTACCAAAATACTGGCTGAAGATTGCCGGAACAGAGGGACTGCATTTCGACTTGGGGTATTTCCTTACTCTTGTATCTCAACTCAGTAGTAGTGCATTTTCTTCTGTTGCAGACTTGTGATGCGTCTCGATCAAGTAAATTTAATTTCTTTATTTTTGAGGGTATCAGTGAACTTAAAGAAAAGATTATCCCTAATTGCAGCTATATGTCAGAAGCTCATCCTGATAATCTTGATGATGAAGTTCATTGATTTCATTTTTCTGAATTCATATTGAGATTAAGCATCCAGTTCATACTTTCATTGCCATTTGAAGGATGAGCCATTGCACATACATATGTTGTGTCTTACTAAGTTACTATGGATGGGCCCTAGCACATATATACACCAAGACTTATATAATTAACAAATCATGCCAGATTAATAGTTTCATAACCACGTCCTGAGTTTAAGATTTGAAGAAAAACCCTTAATCATCAACATAGTTAAAGTGTATACTGGCTGGAGTTTTAGTTTTACATTGATGGCATTCATTTGTATATTAACCTTAACCATGTGAAATTAATTTAAGAAATCTTGGAATAGAGGAAAGGGGGAATTTGAAATTGGAATAAATGTTGACTTATAAACGTTTTTGGGTTATTATTTTATTTTTTTCATTATTCTGGTGGAACATTTTTGTTATATTGCCTATGTACATATATGTCTGGTAATCGGATCTTATTTTGGAATATAGATCTTTCCCTCTTGTTCTATTTCTTCTCCTCTCTCTTTCTTTTTCTTCCATCTCCTTTCTCTCATTTTCTCCATTTTTCTTTGTTGAAATATGGATGTTTACAGTCTCAGACTGACTCTGATTGAGGAGTTGACTTCCTT